GACCTGAGTCTCTTTTGGTGCTGCCGTGATATAGAGGAGCACTGTGGGAACATAGGCTCATTATGCCTAAGGTTCCTCTGTACTCTATGGCCGACTGTGATGGTACTGTGTGACATAACTGTATGTTTACGGTATGAGAGTCGGTAAGTAAGTTTCCCGGCTCTAATACAAAGAGGGCTTAGAGTCGTGACTTGAAGCGGCGCTTCCAAGTCTTCTAATTGGTTTAATATTGGGTTTTGGGAAATAGGACAGGGGCATTACAATAACTTCAATAAGATGAAGTTGTTAAAATGCCTATAATGTCCATTTAGGCTGTGCTTGAAACTGTTCTCCTGTGAATTCTCTATCATGCAAGTTACTAAACAGAGCCAGATTACCTATTAGGCAGAGTAGGCAGCTGCCTAGGGTCCAAGCTCAGATAGTGGCCCAGAGTTCTAGCTGTGGCAGTGAGGGACCTTACTTGAGCCATCAGATATGTCAATATATCTCCCTATTGGACCCAGTGTCAAACTACTGTTGGTGTAGCCTCCCCTGGGCACCTCTAATAAGGGGCCTGGTCTATGCTGTGGTCCTTTATTTCAGTCAGAAAGAGTCACATGTATTCTTGTAACGTGCATAAAAGAGACATGTGACTTACCTCCAATGTTTACTTCTCACAATACCATGAGCCTCTGCAGCAAACAGGTTCTGCAGCATCATATGTTACCCATCTGCCACTGTGGCAATTGACAACAGCGTTAATCAGACAATAGTAACAAATAATAATAAGGGAAAAATGGTCACAAACAATGTGCTTGTAGGCAGATAACTGCAATTCCTGTTTGTAAATCTGCCTGTGGCTAGGCCTAGTCAACCAACTCAATGGGGAGCTTCACGATTGCCTTTCTTGCCAATGGAAGGAAATATATTTCATTGCCTTTAAGAATACCATCTAAATATCTTATTTATATTCACCTGAGTCTTCCCAATGTAATGTGTTCTTAATTGTCTAACATGTATTTTAATTGCAAGATATCATTGTATCTTGCAGAATCTGTTCTGCTTTTAATAACTCTTTATCTAAAGTATAATACTTACTTGCTATCCCAGAATATATGCATAATCAGTAATTGCCTTTATTACTTTCTTGGCAATGAGCATACAGAATCCTACTTTAAACATGGACACAAGTTCTATGCATTCTTTGCAGCCAATCAACTATAACATCCATTTGAGTAGGGAATATTTATAGGGTTGTCGACTTGGGTCATTTGGAACATTAGACGCTCATGCACCAGCAGAGAGAATTATAAGATGCAGCAATCTATAGCTGACTTACTGCAAAGTAGCTCATTATGGGAATAGAATTTGAGTCCACTGATTGCATATTAGAAGCTTGGGCAGATAGTGTATTCCTGTTGCTCTTGGTGTGAGACCAAGTAATTGACCTCCTCAGGATTTGTGTATGGTCCGTGCAATATATCCCTGTTAAGCAGAGTGGCCTCCGACTGAATCCTCTGTTGTATAAATTCTTCTGAATTTGAAAATATTAGGATATGGTTTAGGGCGATAGTAATGTTTTGTCTGTGTGGACAACTGAACCAATTGGCTGGTTCTCTAGTACATAGATGGTGATGTCATTAATGACTCCTTAAGGCATTATTTTTAGCTTTAATTATCTGAGATGTATTATTCATTGTTTTTTGCATATATTTTTAAATGCATTATCTTTACAATGCACGAGAATGGGTCTATTCCTGCCCTGAGTGCCCCTTCAATAAAATCATAGTTTCAAAAGAACAGGCAGTGATTTACAAAAGAGAAATGTATGTATGTATATATGTGTGTATATATACGTTTTTATATATATATATATATATATATATATATATATATATATATACATACACACAGGGTGGGCTAAAATGCAAAGACTGGTTTTATTTTTATTAATCAACCAATTGCAATCATTACATACAAAGAATGCTTAACTTATGGAGATTTGTTTGGTACATAGGATGACATTGTTTAAATGAGAGCCCCTTGCTGCCTTGCAAAGTTAGGCTCTTTTGATTGCATTGTTCATAACATTAGTTGATGTTTGAGGGTTTAGCGCTTACATTTATGCACAGATATTCTCCTTGAGTTGCTCAAGTGTACTCCTTCAAATGTCCCCACTGGAAGTAATCAGAAGCTGAAAGTTTGAGTGAACAGAGAGGCCAATTAATCTGGGAATATTTTGAAATTATTCCCCCTCTGAACAGTTGTCCTGGCTTTATGGGCAGTAGCCTCATCCTGTTGAAACCACACTTCAGGAAGATTTTCCAATACAGGACATAAAACAAATTTCAATTATATCCCGATATTTCACACCAACAATATTCCACTATTTGTTCTCGTTGAACCTTCATGAAATTAATCATGATGAATCTCCCAAGACTCCCAAGACAAAAACAATTGAACTACTATCAAATGAGTTATTTACCTGTCAATTCTGACTCTGAATATTGGCCTGTGTGTGTGTGTGTGTGTGTGTGTGTAACTAAACCCCCATTATTTTTGCCTAGATTAGGTGTTTAATACAATCTTTCAACATTGAAGTTGCTGTTAAGTGGATAAGTGAGTGCCCTGGATCTTGTGTATTGTATAAATTTTCCCCCAGCAGCATCCCATTTATGCATGTTCAGGTGAGTGCAGCCCCCTGGTTTCACATATACATATATTTTTGGAAGTCTAGACATTTCCTTGGTTTTGCACCCCTCCCTGTCACAGGTGCCTCATCCTAGGGCCCTATCTAGCCTTGTACTGCAGTCCCAGATGGCAGGCTTATGCAATCTATGATCATATAATGTAACTGAACCCCCATTATTTTTGCCTAGATTAGGTGTTTTTACAAAACGAATACAATCTGTCAACAGTGAAGTTGCTGTTTAGTGGGTGAAGTGAGTGCACTGGATCTTGTGTAATATATATATAAATCTGCATGTATGCATTTTTCACAGATATGAAACCATTTAATATTGAATATTTAATTTCCAAAGTATAAAGGAAATCTCTAAGGGATGTAATGTGTATGGGCAATCTTCAAGACATATTGTACATCATTAGTGATTTACCAGTATGTTACACCATTGTACTAGACGCCATTTACTCACATTATTTATTGATGACTCATGCAATTGGAAAACTAAATCACAGCTAATGTAATCAGTTGCAGTATATCTAGTCAAGTCATACAATTTGACATATCCGTTTAATAAACAATTGTCTGCTCTGTCTCTGTATGCAAAAACGAATTATTGTAAAACCATACACAGAAAGCTCAATGCTTTGTTATGTAAATAAAGTCTAATTAAAATATTGCTCTCATGAATACAACACAGTTTCAGTATCTTCTAATCAATGCATGATATTTAAATTGTACAATTTTTCCCCCTGAAATGAAATCTGTATGTCTTAGCAGTATGTCCTAACATTTGACTAGGCGAGACGAGAACAACTACCCACAATGCAAGTCTGAGGATAGCAGAACAATAGCCTGTATCTATGAAAATAAATAGTTACTTCACAGTGTGTTTAAATATTCTTGCTCATACAGGTAGAATTTGAGAGAAGAAGCCCATTGTTGGATGTTCCCAGGTCCCTCTAGTAACTTCAAATGATGCAGATTTAAATTATCATAATACAGTCCAACAAGAAGGAAGACTGTCAAGGCTTTGGTGCAACAGCTATCATTTTAAAATAGGATTTCTGATCAGTGCATTGTTTGTTAAATATTCCTCAAACAGCTCCTCCCTGGGAACTGGGTCCAACAAGAAATTAGAGCGGTCAGGAATGGTTATTCCGTAAATTGTGGATTACTGATTATTGAAAATGAATTACATTTTCAGAGTAAAATAAGCAAATAAGAAAAATGATCCCAATCAGCTATTGCTTCGGGTTGCCTGCTTTAGCATGACATTTTAAATTGATTTTGCATTTACTTTTAATTCTTTAGCAATTCAAAAACTCTGCATGTCTTTTTCTCTGGTGATGCTGAGCAATGGTACCTCAGTTAATATCCGAGGAGTAATATAAGTGGGTGCCTGCGCATTTATTTCCTAGTACAGGAGAGAAACTGTAAACATTAGTCCCCAGATAGAGCTCTCTGTGGGGATAAATTCATTCTCTATAATGGGAAAGCCAACAGGTTGCTCTCAACTATTGCAGAACTAGAACTCCCATAATATGTTGCTTAGGTCTAATTCTATTCTTCTAATAGTTGGCCACGTCTACTATAAAACACAGAGCAAGGCATTATACCAATTATTTATTACTAATTAATAATTGTGTGAAAATGATTGACATATCCTCCATTTGGGGTTTAGGTATGGTCCATAATATTTCACTGGAAAAAGCTATACTCAGTTTCCTGAATCAAAAATGTTTTTAATTTAATGATGTTTCCATCACATACATTGTTGTGTTAAACTTGCAAATTCCTGATTAATTCCCAACAATGCACAGTTTAATAAAAAAAAACAATAGTAAAATAAATTTTAAAAAAACAAAACACTGACCATGGTAAGACTAATGACATGATAGACTAAGACTGCTAGACATTTTAATAACTTTTTTTTTTTTACCGCTAAAACTCTGAAATCTAACATGCAGTAAAATCATTATAGAACAGCAGCCCTTTCAATATAGAGTTGTGATTTGAGTGCCCAATTGCTATTCCTCATTCCTTAATAGATCCTCCTCAGACACTTTATCAAACACCAGTTTAGCTAAATGAGTTGAGGGCTGGATATTTTCTTAACAGTGTGTGTGTGTTCAATACACCACTAAGAGCAGGTGATTGTAATGTTACTGTTAATTAATGATTATTAGAAAGGATCGGATAAAGCATTGTGTTTCAGCAGAGCACTGCCTGCATTCCATTATTGATCACAGCCTGTGAACCTTATTGGAGGATTCAGCTGTATCAGTGCTAAACTAGCGAATTGCATCTTCTTCTTGTCTGGCTAGAGACAGTTTGAGCTCACAGAGCGGGAGGGGCAGCGGGAGTTTAAAAGCAACATGCTCAGGGGGGCACAGAATCACCACCTACTGCACCAGGCTGTGAGGGAAGAGATCGTCAGCATTCACAAGGCAGAAGCCCTTTCAGGACCATGGACAGTACAACTATCCTCTTCAAGGTACTCTGCGCCTGTCTGCTCATTACCTGTCTGTGCCAGGGACAGCCATCAAGGGAAGTGTCCTCAGAAGATTTTGATGTCAAGAAATCCCCCTCTTCCTCTGAGAAAGAGCTGGTGAGTGACTTGTTTTTTTTTTCCCCCCTTTAATCTTAAAATGACAAAAAACTTAAAGGGTTTGTGTACTAAACAATCCAGTGAGATAAATTGAAAACTGAATTGTAAGAAAATAGGCTAAATTAGCTTAATTGGGGGGAAAAAATGCTGGATTGGAGAATTTTTCTAACTGGACAATTGTGGCCTAATTTGTGCAACTCAGTTTTGACTGTTTATTGAATAAGCCACTGTGTTTAATGCCTCCAACCAAGCTCTGGAACATTAACAGTATCCTAAGTAATACATTTAACAGGTACAATGACAAAAAAAAAAAAGAGAGAGCAGAGAAGAGAAGGAGAAGGTTATAATGTATATTTTGTTACTTGGGAGCCTTATCTATCTTAATATTTATTTATTTATAAAATATTTGACCAGGATGGATACATTGAGATTTCTCTCATTTTCAAGTATGTCCTGGGTCTTTGTCCATAAAACATTGCATTGTTACAATAGGATACAATATTACAACAATACAATATACAAACTATATATATATATATATATATATATATATATATATATATAAATGTAATACATAACAGGTAATAAATATAATGTAAGCTCATGTTTCAGTATAGTTCAAACACTTCTGATCCTTAACTATGAAGTAGATACTCCTGCATGTGCTGGTAGGCTAACTAATAAACCATTTTATTTGAGTTTATATTTGTGTTTCTTCTTTTTTTCAGGTAGAGGCAATGGAAGAACTTTTAGGAAAATTCCAGGACAGATATCCCTTATACCAGAAGAGAGCTCAGATTCCCCTGGTGAGGGTTTTATACACATTCTAATATTGTTACACTGGCAGCCAAATACTGGATCTCCCTGAGGGGTTTGTTCACTGAACTGTGTGCTGTAGACCAACTGTGTACATTTTAGGCTAATATGTATTTCTGTAATAAGAAAACATTGGCTGCATCACGGGTTTCTAATTAATGGTGTATATATAAATGTTGATTTAAAAAACGGTTCTATATATGCACAATAACTATTTTCTCAAGATATAGCAGCACAATGGTTGGTTATCGTTTGCAAGTGAAGTATTTTAAATAATACAATATTGTATATTTCTGTGTACAAATATTTATGTATGAAGTATTTTCCAAATGGATTCAGATTTTTTTTACTTTCAGATAATCCCTTTGTAATCCTACTGTAAGCTATTTAGTGGTACAGTGCAGAGATTTTGTAAACACCTTCTTAATGTACTATTTTTCAATTTTAAAATATTAAAGGAGAAAATAGATTAATTTTATACGTTACTGCTAACATTCACTATGCTTGATTGTAAAAGCAATGATTTTCTCATACCCATTTTTTTATTTTTGTCTCTATCTGACATTCTCAAAAAAATACATTTCTAAAAAAATATTACAAGTATTATTAAGTAAATGCTGTAGAACTAGTTTGGATAATATGTTCTTTTAGAAATAATTAATAGTCTTATTTTATGGTTTTGTGAGTAAAAGAAATATAAAAAATATGACTACTTTGCTTTTTTATCATTTTAACATAAAGGGTAGCACAAATTCATAATTCATAAGTGTCCACCAGCTGCAATGTTTAAGCAATTGTGTCCTAAATTGTACATTTAAGAACAGGTCCCAAAATTTAGCTCTGGTTATGATCCACCTGTAATTCACTCTCTTTTATCTGAAGTTATTGTGAGTGATTTTAGACTGACCAGATGCATTCCTTTGGAATCTACCATCACCACAAGCAGAGTTGCTGCTTTCTAAATGGATTGTATTTAATTGTAAATTATTTGCATTCTAACAATCTGGAATGATTGGAAAGATTTAGACCGTGTGGGGTAATTGCTGTGAATCAAAAAGTGAATTGTAAGACTATTTGGAATAATTCATTTTATTTCGACTTAAAGTCCAATTACTACAATTTAGTGAATAAACCTCTACGGAGTTCACAAATGCTTTATCCCCCAAAAGGAATTCTAGTTAATTGAAATCTGGATAGCAACATACCAGCAAAAATTGATATTGAAAAACTCTTTTACTCCTCTAATGGCAAGATTGTCTCTTTTAGCTTAATTTTGTTAGTTCAGTTTTCAGTTCACTTCCCTTCAATGAGAGAATAGGCATCCAGTTGTTCATCAGACACATAGAAACATAGAATATGACGGCAGATAAGAACCATTCGGCCCATCTAGTCTGCCCAATTTTCTAAATACTTTCATTAGTCCCTAGCCTTATCTTATAGTTAGGATAGCCTTATGCCTATCCCACGCATGCTTAAACTCCTTTACTGTGTTAACCTCTACCACTTCAGCTGGAAGGCTATTCCATGCATCCACTACCCTCTCAGTAAAGTAATACTTCCTGATATTATTTTTAAACCTTTGTCCCTCTAATTTAAGACTATGTCCTCTTGTTGTGGTAGTTTTCTTCTTTTAAATATAGTCTCCTCCTTTACTGTGTTGATTCCCTTTATATATTTAAATGTTTCTATCATATCCCCCCTGTCTCGTCTTTCCTCCAAGCTATACATGTTAAGATCCTTTAACCTTTCCTGACCCCCCTTGTCCCCCCTCCAGGATTGCTGTGATTGTGTTCCCAACCAGGAAAAGCAGTATCTCATTGCTCGCTAATCCATACACAAATGAACTACATTACCAGGCATCCTCAGATTAGCCTATCAAACTTACTCTATGTATATTTCTGTAACCTGAATTAAAGGTATTATGTATATTACATAGGACTCATATTAGCGATGATAAAACCTGTTTATATTGACAGTTAAATTGCAAGCAAATATATAGACCAGCAGCTACTCCTCATGTGACTATCATATTGTACAGATACAATTCAAATTCAAATGCACTTAAATCGGATTGTATTAGAGTAGGCTAGTTAATGGAGTAATAGTCGTAAAAAATCAAAATGTGCCACATACATAAATATGAGTATCACAGAAGTAAGTGGAGATATAAAACTTAAATCTAACAACTTGAAAGTTCCAAAGAGAAAAGTCATTTTAGAAGTGAAATAAAACCTGCTAGAGATAGTGTCTTTTGGAAGCCAGTCTGTTGTCCTCCAAAAGACACGATCTCAACAGGTTTTACTGTTGTGATAATCATTTATGTCTTTGTTTTTTACTACTGTCCTTTATATTTTTGTTGGATTGTTGGTGTATCCAAGTTACATTCCTGCTGACTTTGAGGTATCTTCTTGTATCTCCTATCTGTTTGTTCAATTTGTTTATGGAGTTAAATTGTTACAGTAGCGACCAATGGTCCTTAGACTTTTTCATTAAATCTTGCTTGTCAAACATATTGAGTAATATTTCCCTTTATGTTTCTTCTCAGTGTGACATTGGTGAAAGATGTGCCGTGAAGCAAGGACCTCGAATTGGCAAGCTGTGTGACTGCTCTCGCGGAGCATCCTGTAACTCCTTCCTTTTGAAGTGTATTTGAAGAAAAACATAATTTTCTGCTTCCAGAGCCCACACACCATTTAATATCTGTCATTAAGAGATCTGCAGTCCCAGTGCTTGCCTATATGAAAGTCTCCTCTTTACTTTGAAATATGCCCACGTCACGTCTGTCCTAGAGAGATTTGTACACAAACAACTAAGATAAAGACATCTCCCTGATTTATTTATTTTTTTGCATCGTTATATTGATTTTCAAAAATAAATGTTTTACTGCAATTCCTAGTTGGTTGTTAATGTATTTTTTACACCTAGACATTTGTGTTGCTACACAATAAATCTGTTTGTTACCAAGGGTATCAGCAGTATCCTGGAGAGTATCAGCAGTTCACTATTCATGGGTTTGGAGAACAGGACATAACATTGAAAGACGCGAATATGTCCTGACATATATCTACCTTTCTGTCAGTATACGGGTCATTTTGTTTTCCTTTGGGATCAAGCCCCAGGTTTTTCTGGAACCTATCAATGACCCTGGTGACTGTGGCTACAATGATGCTTACGTGTTTTGTGACTAGTGGAACTTCATCAGAGAGCTTCAGAGACTCGGATGAAGTGCCACTAAGACATAGACACCTGCGTGTAATATATATAGCACTTCCCCCCTTTGTTGAGTTGCAGCCTGGAATTTTAAATGAAGAAATACAGGTATTTTAAAAAGTATTCTTTCATTGCTGCTTTGGGCACCATTTATTCTCTTCCTGAAAGTTTGACTTAGATATAAATTCCGGTCTTGCAGAAATGGGGGATTGGTAAATCTTGCGAATAAACGCAAAATGTGCTTTCAAAAACCTTTGGGATTGTCCTTATACAGTTTTTGCAGTTTTGTCAAGATTACAATTTGGTGAATAAACCTGTTTGTGTGAGAATTCCATGGTCTCTTTCCCAAACTGAAAAACATTAGCCAGTCCATGTTATATGTCATAGATTATGTGACAGTGTGGTTAATAAGTAATTTATGCCATGACCTCATAATACAATCAGAACTGTCCAATTTAATAATGTATTTAGACCGGGTGTCTTCTTTAATCAAAATTATAATATTTGCAGTATATTTTTAACCTGTTTGGTACATGTCAATGATATTATAAACAGCTTCTGGGAGCATAAGGTATAACCTTATTTATTTCATGACCCATCTAGCCAATGTAGTCCATTGAGAGATAAACAGGCATGGAGATGAGGAAGTAAATTCATAGTGTACAATTTGGGGGTGTTACCTGGTGATAGTCATGCATGGTGAAGCAAGTTTGGTCATTGTAAAGTAGATAAGAATTCCAACTTTGAACACAAAATTTATAAAATGTTTACAAAAGTGTAATTTGGTGTTTAATTTTGTGCCTGCACATATTAGTTATTTGATATTATAAAAAAGCAAGAATAAATGGGACTGCTATATAAGCATTTAGTTACATTAAAAACATTTTAAAGCCTATGCTCACAATACCAAAATGGACAATTAAAGTCAAGAGTTGCATGAGCATCATGTTCATGTGTTCATGTGTTTAAGAGTGCAATATCATAGCTCTATTCATAATCATAACTGTTACACTTTAAATGTTATTGTTCAAGATTAGCATTGGGGTTAAACCTTAAAGGAGCACTAAAGGGTCACGAACACAAACATGTATTCCTGACCCTATAGTGAAAACCCACCATTTAGGTGGCTTGCCCCCCCTTAGCCTCCTCAGAATGGGTTAAAAGTCACCAAATTTCCAGCTCAACACGGGTCCGCTGGTGCTGGCCCTGCCCCCTTGGTGACATAATCAAAATTTCAGATTGTTAGCCAATCCAATGCATTGGATTGGCTAAAATCGGCAAAGGAAAGGGTGTGGGGGGGGGGGTGCTAACGCCATTTTGGCCAATCAGCACTTCCTCATAGAGATGCATTGAATCAGTGCATCTCTATGAGGAAAATTCAGCGTCTCCATGCAGAGTGTGGGGACGCTGAATGGCAGTGCTGCTTACTGTGCAGCCCTGAGCCAGGAAGCCCCTCCAGTGGCCATCTGAGGAGTGGCCAGTTGAAGGTGTCCCTAGGGGCAATGTAAACATAAAAATGCCTGAAGGGAACTATTATACTCACCAGAATAACTACATTAAGTTGTAGTTGTTCTGGTGACTACAGTGTCCCTTTAATGGTTCACAGGCCATTAATGTTGGAAAGGTTTGGGCAAACTTAGGGTTAAGAATCAAGATTTCCAGGGTTCATGGCGGTATACCACTACATCCTCAATCTCTAAATAGTTGAGATTACAGCACAGGAGACACTTATGGTGCTGTAATAACTTATGGTTATAAATGGCACAACAATGTCACAGTTCTTGTCTGAATGCAGTACTATTACAGCATGTTCTAAGTGATCTTGCTATTTTATAGTTGACATCATTTTAAAGGAATGGGAAGAGATCGCCCAACGAAACAATGTGGAAATGTTCCACAGGTCATGGGTCCTATGAACAGAAAAATTGCACCAAAGGCAATCTGAATACCCTTGTGGTTATAGGGGGAAAATAAAAATTATATAAATTACCCCTTTAAATTAGGTAGTGTGAAGACTCCTCAGTGTCTTCTCAAATGTAGACATATATATAAAGTTACACAACCTAAAATGTAAAGCAAACAGAGACCACAATAGTGCAGATAAAAAATAAACAAATAAAAAAAATAGATGCACTCACAAACACATGGATATATTGGACGGGGTATATAAGTCTCTTTCAGATATTTATTCTCTTCTTTTACTCCAAATAGAAGCTTGAAGATAAAGCAGAAAAACAGACCATAGTGTATAGCTGTATAAGTAATATGGATAACTTTATTGGTTGCACTTACAAAATAAAAGTAGTAAAATGGCTCATCAAATCGTTAGCCGTTTTCCCAGTCAGGATAGATGCATAATCAGAATAAAAGACGGTCGAACGATCAAGTCAGCATTAAAATAATAAAACAGAAGAAATCCTGCCACCCTACGCGTTTCGTCTGTGAAGACTTCATCAGGGGCGTATGGCAAAACACATACAAAAACAAACTATACACTATTTAAATACCCCGCTAAAATAAACATTACCGGCTCTTAAGCCAATAGGAATAGGTCCATAGAAAAGTCCACCTTTAGGAACTAATGCAATTATCCGATCATCTCTGCTCTTCATGTTCATTGCATCTCAAGCCTCTTCAGACACCGTAGCCAGAAATGATTTCAATTCAGTACTGGAATGCATATGCGTTCCAATGAATCCGTGCCACTGGAACCCGGAAGTGAAGACTCCATCCAACTCGGACACTGAAATATCTCCAAATATTAGTGTGTTTTTTTATTGGATAGTATCCATTTTATTCTCAATCACAATTTTTTAATATTTAATGATGATTTTTATTTGCAACTATAAGGAACAGCCATGGGTACCAAGTTCGCGCCACGTTATGTGAACATTTTTTTGGATCACTGGGAGAAAAATTACATCAGGTCCAATAATCCTTTTGGCGCGAATTTGGTACTCTGAAGAAGGTACATAGATGATGTCCTTTTTATTTGGAATGGTACTGAAGACATTTTATTGGATTTTATTAATTATATTAATGATAATTTTTCTTTAATTTTTTTTACCTGTTTTTAACTGTAATGATATACATTTTTTAGATCTCACTATTTTTATAGATGACACTAAAATTAAGACCAAAACTTTTTTTAAACCTACAGATGCAAACAGCTACATCAATACGGATAGTAGCCACCATCCCAATTGGCTCTGAGGTGTTTCTCTGAGCCAATTTACTAGACTAAGGAGGAATTGCACAGATGAGAAACTTTTTCTACACCAGGTCACAATGCTAAAGAATACATTTTTAGAGAAGGGGTACACAGAAGAGTTTATCAATAAAGAAATTATGAGTTCTTACAATAAAAAGAGAGGATATCTATTACTTAATAAAAGATTTGTTCCTCCTATTAATAACACATTTTTCTTTCAATACCCAGTACAATAGTCATGCCACCAAAATAAGACAAATATTAAATAAGCACTGGCCACTTTTGTTAGAGGATGATTTCCTAAAGACAGAACTTCCCCCTATTCCACAAATTATATTTAGAAAAGGAAAAAGTTTTAAAAATGTTTTGGCACCCAGCACTTTCAGGAACAAGGAGAAAACAGAAATCTACCAACATGAAGGGTTTTATACCTGTGGATCTTGTAAAAGTTGTTATCATAAGTGCCTTAAGGTTCACTATTTTATTAGTTCAAAAACAGGGAAAAAAATTTAAATTAAAGAGCATATTACGTGTAATTCTTCACATGTGGTTTATCTTTTGACATGTGGCTGCGGGGCCCAATATGTTGGGAGAACAATTAGACTGTTAAAAAGGAGATTTTTAGAACATTATAATAATATTAAAAAGAAAATATTTTCCCATTCAGTTTCTGTCCACTGCAACCAATGTCAGAATTTTGACCCTGATAACTTTTCATGTATTGGAATTGAAAGGGTATCACTTGATGAAAGGGGAGGTGATCCTAGTACTGAAACTTCGACAGAGAGAAGGTTACTGGATATACACCCTAAAAACCATGCAACCTGATGGTATGAATATTGATTTCGATATGGCTTGTTTTCTGTGATTTGTACTTGGTGTTTATATCTGTATGCATTTTTTTTAATAACCTTAATCTATTCATATATGTACATCTACCACTTTTATAATCTGTTCCAATTTTGTTATTTATTTTATATTCTATTTTTCATCCTTCACCTCCATATTATTCCTCTATTTATGATCGAACTTTCATGCACATCTTGGAACGCATTTGCGTTCCAACATTGGATGGAGACTTCACTTCCGGGTTCCAGCGGCACGGATTCATTGGAATGCATATGCGTTCCAGTACTGAATTGAAATCATTTCCGGCTACAGTGTGTGAAGAGGCTTGAGACGCAACAAACATGAAGAGAAGAAATGATCGGATAATTGCATGAGTTCTTACAGGTGGAATTTTCTATGGACCTATTCCTATTGGCTTAAGAGCCGGTAATGTTTATTTTAGCGGGGTATTTAAATAGTGTACTGTTTGTTTTTGTATGTGTTTTGCCATACACCCCTGACGAAGTCTTCACAGACAAAACGCGTAGGGTGGCAGGATTACTTCTGTTTTATTATTTTAATGCTGACTTGATCATTTTATTCTGATTATGCATGTATTCTGACTGGGAAGACGTCTAACGATTTGATGAGCCATTTTAATACTTTTATTTTGTAAGTGCAACCAATAA